ACAATGATTATAATTTAGTGTAACACTGAAGCTGTCTGACGTAGTCACGTGTCTGCTACAGACAACATGTTGGTAATATTTCAAGTAAACAGATTCCTCCTCTAAACTTATCTCAACAGTTTATTGTGATAAAATTTATGTATTTAAAAAAGGTAATTTTGTATGTTTTAATGTTGCTCTGCTAATCGGCGAGGGCACGTTTCCGCGCTCCCTAAATAATTGTCTAGCTAAAAGAAAATCTCCGCGATTAGCATAAAAAAAACGTCTAAACAGCGTCGAGCTCGCGGCGATGCTTTCCTTCCGCAATATTTGTAAAAAAATTCCGCGCTTCCGGCATTTTGTCTCCACCGCGCCCGCCATCGCCATCGCCATCGCAAAAAGACAACGAAATTTAATTGCGCCAAATAAACTGTTGTAATTAATGAAGGCAATGAAAGGCAATTGTCTCCGCGGCGGCTTCCTTCGAGTTTTACAAGTTGAGCACAAAGTTGCATTCGGTTCAATGAACTTTCCTTTATTGCTTTTCATTAATTTTGAACCTGAATCTTAGCAAATAACATTGTGAGACATAAAAGTGCACATGGACTGAACATCTGCCAATGTTACAGTTACTACAGGTAGACTCCCATAGGTATATGTCTAGTATATGTTGGTATACATAGTAAAATGCTATTCTCTTAGCGTTGATTGAAAGTACTGTAGTGGGGACTTTTCTATTTTACATTAGGAAAGATACAGTCAATTTTAACGGCTCCCGTAAGAAGATCGAATGTAACAATATCATTGCAAGAGATTTCTTACTCACCCTCGCCTACACTAACGACATCTGTTCGAATTCGCAATAAACATAGAGTTGGCGATGTCACAGAGTTCTGTAGTGGCGGCGGCGTTTTCCATCACGCGGGCCCTCCGTCTTGGGGTTGCATAAAAGTTTACAGGCATTCGGCTAATAAATCGCGTCAAATAAATAAGTGTTGAGTCGGTCGGCGGCATATTGATTCGTCATGTGCCGCCTTGGAGGGCGCCGGGCGCGGCGGGGCGAGTGCGGGGTGCGCGCGGGGCGCGGGCGGCGGGAGCGCGGTCATAAAGGTGCGTAATGGCCGCCGTCGCAAGACAGCGCAGTACCGCGCATCGATTAGCGCCCGCCGCGCCCGCCGCCGACGCAACGCGTCCCGTCGCCCGACGCCCGGCGCCCGGCCATCAGCCCGCCCGTCTAACTCTTTTCAAATCAACACCAAATATTCATAGTTTTTACATTACTCCTTCTCCCAGAACTGTCTCTATGGCTCTTTAGTTATTAGTCTTATCCAAAGCTACATCTCTGTCACTAGATGGCGCTACTTGTTCGTAGTTGCGTGGTAGGATCGAAAGATTATTTCTTTTAATTCAAGGCATATTATTACGATAGGGATCAACGCCAAAGTGAAAAACTACCGGGCTGAAATGGACGTGGTGGCGCGGTAATGTGCAATTATGAACTGTCAATATAATAAACGTCGATGTCGTCCGCTTAGCATAAGTTATGTGGACGGACCGAGCGGCCGCGGCTCGCGTGAGCGCCCCCTGTAAATCTTGCAGGATAAAGAATGCGCCGGAATATTGTCTATAGTCGATGTCTAACAGACAAGAGGAAATCTAACCTTGTATCTGTGTGTGTACTCAGTGATTACTGAACACAATGAATAACATTAGTTAATTACAATATCATCAACTATAGCGTTTCATCTGATTTTTAAAGCAATTTGTTAATGTGTTGTAAGGATTGTATTTGTTTACATAACTACATATATACAGTTTGTATACATACTGATTGATTCTATTTCGTCTTCTATAGATTCAATCATGAAACGATTTGCTACGCGCATTTTGTTTTTATAAATTTATGTTACTGCTATTAAGTTAATTTATAAAGATAAGATATTATAATCAATATGAATAAATTAAAGCATATGTTTATGCAATTAAGTTTAGATACACAAATAATATGCGTCGCAACTTGACAACTTTTGTCACATTGAATATTTTCGATGAAGCGAACTGCTTACACGCAAAAACATTATCATTAAACGAATCAAAGTATCAAATCACCAATAGATGGAAATCTAGTTAATTAGTCGTTCAGAGTTAATTGCGCGCCAAACATCCTGTGCCGGCGGGACTCGAAGCCGGGTCTCTCACCACCGCCGCCGCCGCCGCTCCACTCGGACCATGATTAAAATCTCTCACTACATTCACACAAAGCCTTACTTTGATATATGTATAAATCTTATGAAACGTCTCCAGCGACCCGACGCGCCGTCCACCCTGCCGTGGGAATCGCGCCCCTACTTCCACAGTTATAAGGCGGCGATTAGCGTGAAGACTCTTAGGGTCCTGCCTACCACCTGTCAAGTGATATATTGGCTTTAAATAACATATCTTATTTATGTTGAATCGGAAACAAAACGTATAAAAGGTTTTTTTATTATAAATAATCGAGCGCAGCCGAGTGGGTGGAGAACTAAATTTGTACTCGAGCATGTACTACAAGTTATTGTCGATGCGCCCTTGTGCTCGCGTGTCCGTGTGTCCGCGAGTCCGCATTTTCACGTGTTCGTGTGTCCGTCGCTAGCAGCCGATAAATTGCCTCAGATAGTGTTTCTTCTCAATGTAATAAGCTGATTGTACTTGTTCGCGGTCAGCTAGCGCTACACATTAAATAATGAATGTTTAACTTAGGTATACAACCTGTTTACTTCACTAACTTCCCTTCCCTTCTCCCTGTCAAATTTTGTATACTTACATATGTTTTGTGTTTTCGTATCGCTCTTTTTATTTCATTTAGGAAGATGAAATCAAAAGCAAAATTGATTTTAAATTACAATCTACATATATAAATGTTTCAGACTGTATATAATTTAGCACCTTATCAAGATATTATTATATCTCTTACAATCTAGTTACTTAAATCTGTCAAAATCAATTGATATTTAAATATATAAATAAAAAATTAAAAAACATACATGAATAGGGGCTTTATGTGCCCAAACCGCGTCCATTAGAACATTTCATAATTCAGAGCGAGCGTACAGCGCCGCCTGCCGGCCGGTCTATGACACGCGCGCTAAATCTCCCCGAAGGCGGTCCCGGAGATCGTAAATTTTTATTTTCTAAATAAAAATAATGAATATAAATAAAATGGCCGCTCGTCCGGAAACATTTGTCTCGCGCGTCGCTGATAATCCCAGCCTGGATTTATTATTAATTACCCTACATTCTGACTGTCCCTACCTCGTATTGCTCTTATGCTCTCTGCGGTATGTTTGTTAGATTGATTTGCATCACAATTATTGTTTTGTTTGGTAAATAACATGAATCGAGATAATTTACTGATAAAAATATAAAACTTAATACAACTTTTATTAGATCACAGTAAATCCGCAATTGCTATTGTGAGGGACAACTTCAAAATCGTATTGATAGTCAAGTTTAGTGAAGGGTCTCGTCTATCGCTATAGTATCTGGGATCTGCGTCACCGGTGAAAGTTTTTGTTGTAAATGTGCCCGTTGCGCAAACGAGACGCATTATACAACGCTCGTAAATCTGTCGCAACAGACAGACAGACGTAATCTGTCCTTTATGACGAGTGATGCATTACGCACTTTGTGCACTACTCATAAATTTTGCTTTTTTTGTGCATTTTATTCCCTTGTCTAAGGAGCTCGGCAGTGCAGCGCAGGCGCAATAAATCAGCTATGTTATTTCTGTGAATGAAAACTTATACAATGATGATGGTAAGCCACACACGTGATTTTGCAAACTTGTTTTTACTATTTGATTTTGGTTAGACTTTTTTGCACGTATTAATCGTTGTGGAATCATATTAATTAACTTTTTAATAAAAAGTCTTGGACAGATACTAAATATCTTCTCTATGGATATTATCTGGGCGTCTGGTAATGACCATTTACTTGTCAAACTGTGTAACATTTTATGCCATTAAAGAAAAATGTTTTAAATAATTATTTATCAAAAGTCACAAAGTTTTACATAAGTAAAACATTGTTGATTAACCAATTATATTCTACTAGTGTTTGTTACAATTGAATATTTTATAAAAAAAAACATGTAATTTTGTTTTCCCGCGCTTTACAACCTGTACCTAGGTACATTGTTAGCATGTGCATGAGGTGAGGTGCATGAGGCGCGCGATGCGTGCAATTAATACGCGATTTTATTGAGATGTCGTGACGCATGTGTAGTTATGTTATACGTTATTTATTGACTTTGATTTTACAACTAAATACACAATTTATTACATTGAAATGAAAATATTATTTATGTCTGGAAGGATTTTTTTGCATGTTAATTTTATTTATATTTAATACTCAACATAAATATCTTATGTAAAATCTCAAATCTGAATAAATACATACGCTTATGTTTAGTCATATGCAATAGTCAATCTTACTTAATAACTTTATTCATAGGAAATTACTCGCTTTGAAATGATTATCAAATTTAACAATAATGTTATCTAGTTTAATACGGAGAAGTAATTTATAATTATTTTAAAACTATTAATAAAATAACTTTAGTATTTATTAAATAAACAATACCAAAGTTAACTGTTAAATTACGAAGATAACACAAGTTTACTTACAGTTAACTAGCTCCGCCCCCACAACTAACGCCATCTATTATTTGATTTGCGATACTTCAAATGTCAAGAAATATTTTTAGGTTATAAATTGTCAACTTAATTACACTCGTTATTGCAATCATGTAGTAAATTTGCGTTGGACTTATTTAAGGCAAATATTTATACTTAATCGATTGAACACCTACTTTTTTCATTTCATGTTGCAAAAGGTATAGAACGTGTGATTAATACAGACGCGTGAAAAACAATGATAAACAGGCTAGAAATTTACATTATTTAGTTATAACATAGAAAAATAGCAAGGCAACGGGCAAATCACAGTTCACTAACAAAAATTTGCATTGAAATAATACTCACCTGTGCTTAAAAGACGAAGTGATGAACAAAATAACGTGGAATGTTATTGCACTGTTGTGACTCAAGTCACTTTGCAGCTGCTGTGTGAGCGAGAGCGATACTGTACCGACGGAGCAAGTCGCGCTCCGCCCCCCTCCCTGTCCCGCCGCCACCGCTGCCGCTGACGGATCGCAATGACAGCAGACGCGCGCCAAGCGCCACATGTCGTAAACGCGTGGCGCGAAAACGCAACTGCGTTCAAAACACGCGGAATGACAATAAAATCGCAACGAGAACAATAAACTTAAAATTGAATATGCGAATGTCGGAACAGGTAAAGTACTAAAAAATAAATAAAAAAGTATGATTGCAAATGTAAAAAATCCCGCGATATATAAAACTGAAATAGTTTTGTTGAAACATTTGTGAGAAGTCGTACAGAGTGTTGTTGGAAACGCAGCATAAAGTTTGTTGTTGTGGGCCGATGGTTGTGTTTGTGGAATACTGAAGAGTAAATAAATTATTGAAGAATAAAAAGGTGGTTGACAGGCCGTGGCCGTGGCCGGCAACCGGTCGCAAGGAGCAGATTTAAATCGTCGGTCAGGTAAGTCGGACAATGGCCGTCCAGCCACGATTCGCTTAATTAAACATGATAAATAAAAAAGGCAGATGACCAGAGTCGCATCGTACATTCAAGATCAGGTACCGACTTTACTTTGGGTTATTTTTTAAAAAAGAAATAGTGCTTTACGTATCGTATTTTAGTTATTTTAGTTTCTGAACGCTGGCTTTTGTTTTCTCGTTATATTTCCCGTACGCCTTTTGCTAATTTTGTACACGAATAACATTGTTTCAACTTACAAGAATTAAATAGTTTTATAATTGTGTCGCTTTTTATTTTTCTTAAACAATAACTAAATATTTTTCAGAACTATCAAGAATGAAAACAAATGTTAATGCTCAAAACGCTTCCTAGATGGCGCTAGTTGTCACTAAAGTGACAAGTAACGACTTATTCGAGCTTATTATTTTCTTATTAAGATACTATTAAAAAACAGAAGCTTATAATTGAAATACAAGTTATTCAAGTTGAAAAAATCTAGTAGGTATTATTTTTTTTCGTTTTTTTATTTAAATTAAATTTTGACGTTTATTTTGTAAATTGCTGTTTTTCGGTGTAGAATAAATGAGACCTAAACAATATAGTTCTTTTCTCTAAAATACAACAGAATGATTGTTTTGCACACACATACAGCCGTCGATTCATAAGTTTTGTTCGAATGGAGACACGCGAAAAGATCAAAACTTTATGTCTAGTTTGTAATTGTTTAGAGATTTAAATGATAATGTACATTTTCTTAGTCTAGCTAAAAACATTTCAACTAAGCCAATCTAACTTAGACAAGTTGTAGAACTTAATAAAAGTAAAGAAACTTGTAGCAATAATATACTTATTTTTTATGCAGAACACTTAAATTGTCAATTACCTTCTTACTTTAATGAAAATAAAGTATAAGAGATAAAAATATAAATGCAAAAATGTGCAAATTTAAGTAAATTGAAGCCGTTTAATGTTTAAACGTTTTTAACTTGTTCGCTCGCCAAAGGCCTTCAAAGTCAAAAGTCGAGTTGTAAATTATGACGTAATAGCGAATGTTGGCAACTGTTGAGGAGCTCTCGTCTTCTGCTTGGTGCGGGGGTGCTGGGGGGTGCGGGGGTGCGGGCGGGGGGTGCGTTATGTCTTGCAATCTAACTTTGGCTCGTTGTCGCGCCGTTAGTGTTGCCAGTAGCGAGAAATTTTCACTACGCTCGGGAATAAATAGTAAGGGCTTCGGAGTTCAGAGGTCATCACTGAGAAAGTTTTAATGAATTGGTATGTACGGTGTTTTTGTTTCGTTCATTTCGGACCGGCACGGGAGCGGGAGCCGGAGGTCGTTGCATCTTTGATGAGTTGCGCCAAGAAAATGCCTAAAGATAATTGGGATTTTGTACCTTCTTCCAAGAAATCGTGTTATGAAATTAAAGCAATTCTAGAAATTAGAAAACATTGCGATTAAATATTAAACATTTTAAGCAAACCTTCTCTTCTCGCTCTTTTGTTTTTTTTTTTTAAATTTTAAACTAAAATTACTTTTTTCAAGCATTTTTGTACGGCTTATAAGGTCATTTAACAACTGTAACTTGCACAAAGCATAGTATACATGTTTTGTATCGAGGTCGCGGCCGCAACAAGCCCCTACCCCGCTCCACTCGATTACCGGATCATTAGAGGGCCTCAGGGCCGCTGGGACTTGTTCTCACACACACTATAACCAAACTAAGTCTGAGAATATTAGTTATGTTATCATGTTTTAAATGGATTAAATAAAAATATAAAACATGTTAATGAATCGCAAGGTTACTCGTCATGGGGATTAAGCGAGAGAAAATTTTCCCTTTCATAAATGATTCACTAAAATACCAGGATCTAAGCTAAAGATGACTAACACATAGGAGGTAAACAAGTCGAAAATTATTGTCAAACAACAACCTTATGCATGGGTTGGGTTGTCAACTAGTCTATTTAAGAGTACAGCTTGATTGATGAAAATCTGTAACCATTAAAAAAAATAAAATTCTCTTAGAATCATCCTTATGTGTAAGTTATGTAAATAAAAAAACAATCAAATATATTAAATAATACCTGTTTGTCCGGTAGGAGACATTTATTAATAACGCATTACCGATATCAGATAAATACTAATTTGTATCCGAACAGTCATAAATACAAATTATTTATTGACTACATTTTAAATAGAAAAATGTCTTTGGACAACACATTAGTAATATTATATAATGCACCTGGATATTTCCAAAGTGTAATACGGTCGTTATCGAAGCTATTAAAAGTCAGTTTATAGCATTGACCACCGCACTGGGAGATTTAATCGATTTCTCGGAGCAATACATTCTACGCGACCGCTCCCGATGACAGATAGCGACGAAATGCCTTAAAAATTTTAAATTTGGAACGTGCGTGCGCACGCGCAGCCCCTCGCCCTAACGAGCAGGTGAGGCGCTATCGCAGCGCCGCGTCTACTTAGCGTCGCGAATGGGAAGCGATATAATTAGCAGACATATTTTTATTCTGCAAAGTCGAAGTCGACTGCGGTCAATTGATAAAACAAATTAAGCCAGCCAGCTATTACTGTTGTGTGCAAACAGCCCGCGCCGACATTTTGCAATACATCATATTTGTCGATTATATTCATTTGCTAATTTTATTATACTCGTAACTCCTGTTCATTATACACTAATATATTTTTATTATTCATTTCAATTTTATGGCTTATTTGGACTATTGATGTCATTAATTTTAGATGACATATCGTAGACTGTTTAACAATTTTACGACTAGCCTCAGGGCCTGGTCTGTTATCATAAACATAGTTGTTAAAAATAATAGCTAAGCTTTTATATATTTAAGTAGTGTTGTTAGCGTAAGGAGATGCAGCGATAGTGCAGAGGTCTCGGCGGCACATTCCTCTGCCCTCTGTCCTCGGAGTCCTGTCATCTAGCTCGGCGTTTGTGGACACAAAGCGAGGACGCAAATAAAAAGTGCACTGCAAAAAATGTTCACCGCCCGCCGCCCGCCGTTGCGATATCTGCTCGCGATCCCTTCGCAAATATTGTAACAGAAGTATCGAAGAGTTTTTATTGTTCCGACGTTAATTAGGTGAGATTATTTCCGTGTCCCATAATATTTGTGCCAAATAAATACAAGCTAAGACGCTATAAAATGAGACATGATGACTATTTCAATACCGTCTTTAAACATTTACATCTCTTATAACCCCACTTAGGTTACTGAATACTAGACTGTTACGATCATTATTCTTCCATATTCTAATTCTGTGTATACGTAGTAGTGGTTAATTAATTACTTAATAACGACGATTGCAATTAATAGAGAGAAATTGATATAAAAAGCATAATATTTAATTAAACAATAAGTATATCTCGATGCGACTCTGCGCATGTCGTATGCGTGTGGCGGCGGCGGGGGCAGTAGAGCACCGGACTCCGCAGCCGCGTAAATCTACATCAACACGGTGTCACCTCCTTTTGCTCTCATTCACTTAGGTCCTGCGTACCTCCTCCCACAACCCGCGCTCCTCTCGTGCCCTGCGACCCGCTTAATAAAGTACCAAGACTGAATTATAATACAATGACTTGTGTGAGTATTATTTAAAGTAACTCAATATAGACATGAGTAGACTGTTGTTATACTGGTGTTGTTTTTTGCTATATTAATAGCTAGTTATAGCTGACGCTAACGTTGTTGTCATGAATGGCTTATAATGAGCTAACTACGACTTTAGTAAAAATATTAGCTTAAAGTTGGTCACTAAGTGTGACTAGCGGTGCAGGTGAGCTCCGCCGCTGTTGTCACAATAAAACTAGTACTGGACAGGTGCCGTATTGTCGCCGGTTAGTGGCGCGACGCTAACTTATCATTTATGTACTTGCTTTAAACGTCACTTCGTTAAAATACCGGATAATTATATCGTCAAGCATTTTGTGTTTAAACGGGTAGGCGTTGTGAATGAATTTTAAAAGTAATTTTAGTCTCACATGGACGTATAGAAACTAAGAAGTGTTAAATAATCCAGTATTATATTTCAAAAATTCCTGCACCTCACTAAGAAAATCAGCTCATTCACTAATCGTGGGTTTCTGAGACCAAGATCCCCTTTAAATATATATTGGTATCTTTGTTTTGTCAAAGATAATGGCAGTTGTGATATTTTTTATACATTTTGGTTTTAAAAGCCAACGGTAAATCAGTTCAGTTGTATGTAAAATTACAGGTATGGTTAAGGGCAATTAGAATCGCGGCTACAAATTGAGCTATCACAACATCTCATGTGGATTTGGTTGCAGCGAGTTTAGTGTAGTGTAGTGGAGGGCGCAGCGTAGCGAATGGTCGCTGATTTCGCAGCGCTCGTGAAAATAACCTGTCAACGCGTCAACCTCACCGCCCGTACTGATGTGCAGGGCTGCAACACTCATGCAAGGAAAATATTTTGTTTTGTAACTAATTTTTTTATTAATA